TAAAACCCAGCAGCATACCCCTCGGGAACCCAAAAATGCATTTCTCGAGGTTGAGTTTGATGACGTTTGCTCAGAGTTTCGCGAAGGTCTGCTCTAGGTCGGCTATGAGCTGGTCAGCCCGTTTGGACTTGACCACGATGTCATCTACGTAGGCCTCAATGGTTCGCCCGATGAGATCCTCGAAACACTTGAACATAAAACACTGATACATAGCCCCTACATTTTTCAGGCCGAACGGCATTGTGACATAGCAGAACGATATCGCGAGCTGGTCGGACTCTTTCATCGCGATTTGATGGTACCCGGAGTACGCATCAAGGAAGCAAAGGGTTTCACACCCTGAGGTCGAGTCGACTACTTGGTCTATGCGTGGCAAAGGAAACGGATCCTTTGGACACGCTTTGTTGAGACCCGTGTAGTCAACACACATTCTCCATTTCCCACTCTTTTTTCGTACAAGAACGGGATTGGCTAACCACTCGGGGTGGTATACTTCCTTGATGAACCCAACCGCCAAAAGCTTTGCAATCTCCTCGCCGATGGCCCTGCGTTTCTCCTCGTCGAAGCGACGCAGGCGCTGCTTCACCGGTTTGGAGCCTGGCCTGATCTTCAAGGCGTGCTCGGTGACTTCTCTCAGAATGCCTAGCATGTCCGAGGGTTTCCACGCAAAGATGTCTCTATTGGCACGGAGGAAGTCGGCGAGCGCGCTTTCCTATTCGGAGGAAAGTGTGGTGCCGATGTGCACCACTTTGCCCTCGGAACTGCTAGGGTCTATGAGGACCTCCTTGGCGCCCTCTATAGGCTTGAAAGACTCGGCGAACCGCTTGGGGTCGGGCGCTTCTTCGATGACCTCCTCCCTGATGGCCGCAAGCTCTTTGGAGACGACAATTGACGTGGCATGTTCGCGGCACTTGACCTCGCACTCGTAGGCGCACTGGAAGGAGGTGCCGATGGTGATGACCCCACATGGACCCCGCGTCTTCAACTTCAGATAGGTGTAGTTGGGGACGACCATGAACATCGTGTAGCATGGACATCGCAGAATGGCGTGGTAGGTCCCATGGAACCCGACCACCTCAAAGGTAAGGGTCTCCGTCCTATAATTTGTTGGATTCCCGAAGGTGACGGGTAAATCGATCTGCCCAAGTGGTACGGCCTGCTTTCTAGGCACGATGCCGTGGAAAGGCGCCCCAGTCATCCGGATGCGTGATCGGTCGATGCCCATGGCATCGAGCGTTTTAGCGTACATGATGTTGAGGCCGCTGCCTCCATCCATCAGCACCTTAGTGAGCCGCTTCGTGCCGATGCTTGGGTCAACCATGAGCGGGTATCTTCCCGCCACTTAACGCCGGGTGGTTGATCCGATCAAAGGTTATGGCGACGACCATCGGAGGAAGGAAGGCGTGGCGGCTCGGCCATATAGACTCGGGCAGCAAGCAAGCTTCGGGCGGCGCTTGATTCATAGGCCACCGACCCTCCGACGATCATGAGGCAGCCATCCGTATTGAAATCCACCGTCCTTCCCTCGACGCCGCTCTGCGGCCGGCTTGGGCTCCTTCAGATGCTCTCCTTGTTGGAGCCTCCAACAAGAACCGCTTTATGAGGACGCAGATCCTTGTATAGGTGCTTGACGGGGAAAACATGGTTGGGCATGGCCCTTCGAAAGCGGCTTCTCAAAGTGGTCGAGGGTACCCTCGGTGGGCTTTCGACCCCCCTTGCGGTCGGCAGTGGCCACAAGCCAGCCCTCGTGTCACTGCTTGTTCTTCTTCTTGTTGGGGCGGTTGGAGGCGCCTTTGCCGACGTCCTCGTCCTACTTTGCCTTGCCTTTGGAGCGGTCGAAAATCGCCCTGACCGCCTACTCGCCCGAGGCGTGGCTGGTGGCGATGTCGAGGAGCTCCTTGGTGGTTCGTGGGCCCTTACGTCCTAGCTTGTGAACCAGGGACTCGCAGGTGATCCCGAACAGGAAAGCTCATATGACATCGGCGTCGGCGATGTTGGGCAGCTCGTTGCACTACCGGGAGAAGCACCGGATGTACCCACGAAGGGTTTCCCTAGACTTCTGTCGGTAGTTTTTGAGATCCCATGGGTTCCCAGGACGTGCGTATGTGCCCTGGAAGCTCCCACAAAGATCTCTTTTAGGTTCGTCTAACTTTGGATTCGATTGGGCGGAAGGTGTTCCAACCACGTTCACGCCGAATTGGCCAGGAACAATGGAAGGTTGCGGATAATGAAATTGTCACTATCCGTTCCACCGGCTTGGCAAGCAAGCCAATAATCCTCGAGCCATAGTCCGGGGTTTGTTTTTTCGGAGTATTTCGGGATGTTGGTTGGCGGTCGGTACCGCGGTGGGAAGACGACGTTGAGGATGTGTCGGCCAAAGGCCTGAGGTCCCGGCAAGTCGGGGCTCGGGTTTCGGTCCTCACCGCTGTCGTAGCGTCTGCCTCGACGAGGGTGGTAGCCGCCGCTAGCCTCATCCCTCTCACCGCTGCGGCACGCCGCGGGCATCCCAGCAGGTGTGTGGCGCGCGTCATGGTGGAGGCCGAGACGCCATGCACCGGGGCCGCGACACGTGGCTTGCCGTCTCGCCGCGCTACCGGTGGATCGAGACGCCCCTCGCTGGTCGCCCGAGGCGCGGCGCTGGTTGGTGTCGACCTCGCGTTGTCGGGATAGCGAAGCTCTCGGATCGCTACGCCGCCGCGACACTCGAGTAGCGTGCGAATCTCGCGATGGGCCCAATGATCCTCGGGTGTCGTGGGCTCCGGAAGCCCCTGGAGCAAGGCTTCCATGGCAGCAACGTTTTGGCTTGCTCGGGTGAAGTGTGGGAGGGCTTCATCGTCCTCGATGATCCTTCGGTTCACGTCGCGGGCCACGGCGCGCACACGCCCACCGTCTCCGTGGCTCTCGATCTCTTGCTCGAGCTCCGCTTTCGCCGAGCTAGAGTCGTGCTTCTTCGAGCTCTTGGTGCCGCCTCCTCACCGCTCTACCCACACAGCGAGGTGGGGCCCCTGTGTCCCCCTCGACCTCATCATCGAGGTCGTCTGTTGGGGTAGCCCGTCCCTCGTGGATGCTTTCGACGTATCCCTCGGGGGTACCTGCCATGAAATATTCTCGCAAGGGGTGATGGCTCCCCCTGCTGGAGTTAGAGTCTGAGGGCGACTCTAATTCTTCTGACGAAAAAAGGTCGTGGAAAGATTCCACGACGATTTGGTCATCCCCACGAACCCGTCGCTCAGAGGGGATGGGGGCGTCTTGCCCAGGCGATAAGGTGGCCAATGGTCTTTGCGGCGTGGCGCGGACCAAACGGGAGCGCTGTCGGGGCGCTCCGGATGAGGTATTCCGGGAAGAGCGGCTCTCCTCCGCAAGCTGCGTCATGACGTTGGCGAACGAGAAGATAAGACGGCGCAGTCGCCCCTGTGACGGTCGGGGGTCCTAGGAAAGGCGCCGAGTGGCGTTCTAGCCTACCGTAATTGAAGTCAAGGAGCTGGTCGCTCTCAGTGGCGTGGACCTCCGGTGCGTGCAGCTGCAGCTCCTCAAGTGCCTCAGCGATCGCGTCGAGGCCGACGGAGTGAAGAGGTTGGACGGCGGCGGGAACCTGCGCCAGCTCTCCCTCCGTCATAATGATGAAGTCCAGGTTCCCGAAGCGCACGTGCGCGTCCGAGATCCACCTGACGCCGTGACTAGCCATCCGAAGCCTGATGTGGACATCGAGACGCGCAAAAAGCCCTTACCTGGCGCGCCAACTGTCGGTGTTTTTGGACCACCGACGAGTAAATTTGTATTTGCGCGTCTGGCTCGGATGGTGTGCTCGAAGGACACAAGGGTTTATACTAGTTCGGACGGAACGTCCCTACGTCCAGTTCGCTGCTGCTCGTGTTATCGACACTTGGTTTGCAGTAGGGGTTACAAACAGACGAGAGAGAGGATCCCAAGTCTCTGGTGGAAGGAGTGAACGGATGCTAAGAGCTCGATTGTCGCTCAGCCGTGTGCTCGTGTCGTGCTCTTGTGTTTCGATCTCGTCTTTTTTCCTCGTCCCCCTCTATGGGGCGCCCTACTTCTTCTTTTATAGACAAAGGAAAAACGCGGGTTACAGAGGAGGAAAAATAGAAGAACGAAAGAGAGAAGAAGGCTTCTAGGGTTGCCGGGTCCTTCTTCTCCTTCATGCGGGTCCCACTGATCCTGTAAATGTCAACAGGGACGGCTCCATGTCGCGGCCCTATTCGTCACTGGCATCATGCGCAGGCGTCATCTGTCGGTCATGGCGTTCCACTCCATCCCGACGGACGTCGTGGTGAACTGACGCGCCTGTAAGCGTCCGTACGAGGATTAAACAGAACAACACCAGCATGTCCGATACTGTTCTTGATGTGAATCCCTAGGTATAGTCCGTCATGGCCACGGGTTACATCGAGGCGTGCCCGCCTCTTCCCTGGCGTCAGAGTTTTAACCCAGGCTCATACGCTTGGACCTGGAGTGGTTCACGGCAGTTTGGGTCCCCATCGGACGAGACGAAAACCGTGTCCTCGAGGTCGGGCGAGACGGAGCCCGCGTCCTTAGGGTCGGGCGAGGTGGAGCCTGCACTCAAGGGGTCGGGCGAGATGGAGCTCGCGGCCTTTAGGTCGGGCGAGACGGAGCCCGCACCCAAGGGGTCGGCACGAGACGTAGCCCGCGGCCTTGAGGTTGGGTGAGACAGAGCCCGCGACCTTGGGATCGGGCGAGACGGAGCCCGCGGCCTTGAGGTTGGGCGAGATGGAGCCCGCGGCCTTAGGGTCGGGCGAGACCTCTTAATACGTCTCGAGCCATATAGAGAAGTCAGCGTGAGCAATAACTTTCATGTTTTGAGCATCTATAATATCGATATCCGATAATATTGATTATTGGCGGTTTGCATTCCTAGAGCACAAAACAAGACCTTCCAATTCATCACAGTTGACCAAAAAAAATTGCAGCTCATACCGGTCCGATGTCAGCAAGTAATTGTGCCCGGAAATAAGTGCCAGTCCCTAGTTGTACAATGCCTTGACGTCACCCGAATCAATCGAGAGGGCCATCCTGTAGCTTCTGCCAGCCTCAACAAGGAGGCTTTCACATTCTTCACATACATCGACAAGAGCAGATGAAATGCTCTCTCTGCTTAAGATTCTCCTATCTACCTTCCTGGACCGTGAAACACGCTCCCTTCCATTCAGAAAAGCACCGCTGTTGGCCAAGAGTGTCCTCAGGTCGCGACTAATCTTGAGCTTGAGCTCTCCGTGGAGGAGGTACGTGTTCCCTAGCTGACCCACTGCTACCAGGCTTGTTGGCCTCAAAGCTACAGCTGTGGAAAGGAGCCTAGCTGACTTGTACAGCAGTGCATCTGCAGTCTCTTCGTCAGCCATGGCCATCATGGATTCCCTGGCCTTCCTCAAGATCTCTGCAGCTTCCTTGATGTTTCGGCTGAACTCCTCGCCATCCGAATCAGCAGAGGCGCTTTCCTCATCATATAAAGGATGCAAACCAGCAGCATTATCGACAAAGCGGTCATCAGTCCTGTCTTGTGCTTCACTCACCTGGCTACCACCGTCACCGCGGCGCTCAATCTTGAACCTGTAGGACCTGTCCCGGATTTCAAGCGTCCTCTCCAGCAAAGATGACTCCATGGATTCGGCGGAAAACCTAGTAGAACCACCTTGAAATGGGCCATCATTCTGCACACTGTCACGCCGGTGCCTGTGTTTGGACACCAGTCTCTCCAGCTGAGCATCCCCCATCCCCAGCGTGGCCTGAGCACCGGTTCCTGCATCCTTGGATCCATTGTCATGCTCGTCAAACTGCAGCATGTCAAGCGGCCTCCCATTTGCATTATCGACTATAGACGGATCAAATGCAAAAGGCTCTTGTTGCAGAGTATCTACGGTATGCACTGCAGCTGCCCGCTGCAAGTGAAAGACCATCTGCTACTGTTTCAACCAAGTGATTTATTTCAAATCAAATTTCTCCAAATTTCGAATCATAGAGCACTCTAGCATTGTTTCAAAATCAAATTTCTCCAACTTTAACCAATAATCTTATATGAAAATAGACCAGCATCTACGGTATCAAATTAGCTTAATTAAATCTTCCACAAAAACAGGACATAGATGTTGATATAGTACTTTTTAACGTTTGGTCTAAGTAAAAGAGGCTTGGCTTAAAACAAAGCTAAAATGATCTATAAGTTGGAATAAAGCAAGCAGATTTTGTGAGATTTATCAAATCTCATTTAAGTAGAGGAAAAACATAGCATCGCAACAGCACAAAGAACCAGTCAGGAGCCATCCTGAATGAAGAAAATCAACACAAGAGAGATGTTTATTCCACTCACGACTCGCAACAAAATATATATACACAACTACTAGTATTAAGCAAGCATCCCCAGCTCAGATAGATCAAAATGCACAAAAATATACTCCATATATGCAGCAGATAGTAGCATAACAATACAACAGTTTTAATAACAAAGAAAAATTTCCAAACACTTGGAAGAAGAAACATAATACAGCCACCAAAACATACATCCTCCTAATACAACCTTATTATTACCATGAACTAGGATACACATGCCCCTTCTCTACAAAATGCAATAACAATATATAGTAATGTAAATGAATCGAGGTGCCTTAACAAATACACAGTGCATGTCTCCACCATGCCGGAAATTCACACGTTTTCAGTTTCACCACCACCGCCTCTGCAACAACTCTAAAAAGAGATTTTTCACATCCTCCTACCATAAATGATTAGGTTAGGCAGCTGCGATCGGCTCAGTTGCTGCTCGTGGTGCCGCTGCCGGCGCTGGTGCCGCCGCAGCGGCCTTTTCCATCTCAGGGACACTGCCATTGGCAGGGGCTGCTGGCTTAGCTCCATCCTTTCCAGCAGCAGCTGGTGCTCCATCCTTTCCGGTGGCTGCAGCAGGTGGCGGAGGTGGCTTCATGTGTGGTGGGGGAGTGTGCTTCAGCTTCAGCAATATCTGCCGCATCCGTGCCATGTCTGTTGGCTTCCCAGGCTTTGGGCCTTGGATCACCACGATCCCAGGCTTCTTCTCCTTCTCCTTATCTTTCCTAGCCCCTCTCTTCTCGATGTTAGCAATCTCATGTGGGATAAGTTCTGATATCGCCTTCCAGTACTGCTTATCCGCACCAGCATGGAACTTTTCCTGGTTTGCTAGGAAAAGCTGGCGACAAAGCAGCAGAATAAGAAAATAAAAAGCAGCCAGGTTTTCATCTTAAGAAAAGAGACAAATAGGATTATACAGGGTCCTAATCCTACCTTCTCCCTGTCACGGTTTTGGCCCTTGCTTGTCTCAACATTGAGCTTTTCTTCTCAACAAAAAGCTTTCTTAAACTCTTCAGCATCAACGATGATTTGGCTCCTCAGCTCCTTCTCCTTCTTCTCCTTTTCCTCGAGGTGGATAGCATTTTGTCTGTTGATCATTGGTGTTAGCATACACTTTGAAGAATGAAAGATAGAGAATACCAGCAACCATAATTTAAGACTGGTCACAGTGCCTATCTTGACTACCCTGCCATTTTATGGAAATGCAGGCTGAGTAGTGAACATAGGTAAATAAAATAATACACAGCAAGGGACAAATAAGAACAACATCAAGGCTTACTCCCAGGAAGACTATCAGGATCAGTAATAGTGAAGAAATATATCAATCAAAACACACAATAAACTAAACGAGAAATTGCTTGAAGGTATAAATTAAAACATGCTGCTGTGCTATTCCAAGGTTGAATACTGACGCTCTAGTGTGTATTATGAAGCAGAAAATAGAGTTGGCAAGACATATAGCTGTTCAGTGGGCAAAGCAAGCTTCTCGGCATATAAGGGGAAAAAACTAATAACAGTAGGACCAAACCATGCACAAACAGTGAAGCTGAAGCTTATATAGTTTAACAAAGCAGCAAGGTAGCCCCGATGTATTTGTGTTTTACTGTAATGACAACAAACTACTATAACAAACTGAATCCTAGATTCCACTAGCCCCTTTTTTTAAGCATGTGCATGTCACAGTCTAGCTAAATGCAAAATGAGGTTGCAGATGAATTAGATTTTCATCGCTTATGTAGAATTCTAATCCATACAAGCGCAACATGATAGAAAAACGAACCAGTATAATAAGCCATTCCGAGTGTAGAGCTGTATAGCACGCATTCATGTACTTGGTAAATGGTAATTACTGGCAGGTAAGGTATGAGGGAGACGTGAAATGGTTGATGGATCCATTGCAATCTGATGAATGAACTAATAAGGTATATAAACTAAGGCGGAGCGAGGATCACATCCTATGCACTGAATTTTGAGTAGATCACCAATGGTATATAGAAAAGCACACGGAATTGCATGCCACTGCCATGAAGTGGTCTGTGTAGTAGTAAGTACCGACGGATTCAGCTGTGAGGTGATGAGATCTATCAAAGACTGACTCTAGGCAGGTCGGCGCGGCACGATCGGATCCGACCCGAGGTGTAGATCTATTGTAAGCAGACAGCGGGGGCAGGCAGATCTGGGCAGCAGAAGCGAGAGGAAGGGAAGCGTTACCATACCGGCGCCACTCGCGGAGCAGGAATCCCTCCTCGCGGCCCATCTCGGTGGGCGGCGGGAGGATGGGCCCACCGTTGGAGTCAGCGGGTGCGGCGAAAGGGTCGTCGTGGAGGTCGCCGTTGGAGTGGGGCATGCCGAAGGGGGAGGGCGCGTAGGCGTCCGGGGAGGCCGGGAAGCCGTCGGCGGGGGCGGGGGCCGAGCCGTCGAAGTGGAGGAAAGGGTCGTCGTGGAAGGGTGCGGCGGCGGGGGAGGAGGTCGGGGACTCGAAGGCGGTGGCCATGGCTGGGGCTGGGGTGGGGGATCTGGGATGGGAGGGAGGTGGGTGGCAGGTGGCCTAACGTCCCTTGATCTGAGGTGAGCCGAAGCAAATGGAAATGGAACGCGAGCGAGGTGAGGCTGATGAGGCCTGAGGGAAGAAGAGTCTCTCTTGTTGTCCACGGTGCTAATGTGAACGACGCTTTTATATCGTTATAAAAGTTTATAATTACCCAGGAGTCGGTAAAAAATTTGATCGGTCACTCTGGTCGGAACTATTTTTTTTTCTCTATACCATTCCGTCCATATCAGGTGCTAACGGTGTCGAACGGAGCTACGGAAAAACTTAAATACCCTTAAACTAGAAAAGCACGCTGAAGTTTCATTTTCCTCCGGTGCCACTTTCTGAACAAGTGTTTTGACATCAAACTAACTATGGAGGAAGAGAGCGTTTTCGGTCGGACGAGGAGCGTCGTGACCATCGTCCTCAAAAGCAAGTACTTGTACTTACCGGATAAAGCATAAGGCATCACAACAATAAATTGTAGATAAAAGACAAAAACGAGAAATACATCACAATATTTTTTCAGTGTTTACTTAAATAGTGTTAGCAGGAAGCTAGCTAGTAACCAGAATGCATAAGCATTCACGTATTTGCCCTATAAAGAAAAGAGGCAGGATGCATGAACTAATCGCCTCCGTACGTGAGGTGTGCCAGCAAGTTGCACGTGTGTATCATGTACGTATATATAGGTATGCGATAAGCTAATAGAAGTATGTACACGTATATGCAAATAGCAGCAGTAAGCTTCTTCAGTCACCAGGAAGGCGTACGTGCACCTGTGCAAGCCGGCCCGCCGGCCGCAGTGACGACGCGTTCGTCAACAACTTCTTCAACATCAATGCAACAACTCCTTAAATTAAAAAAAAAAATGCAACAGCTCCTTCGCCCATAACACCCGAAAGCGTCCATGATCATCGAACTCGTCGCGTTATGTGACGAAAAAGAGCCGAGTCCACGGCCACCAAACCCGGTATGTATGGGGCAGCTAGCGCTACACAGGCCGGCGAGAAGGGCACTGACCGGCACCGCGCCGCCCGCTACAAAGGAGGCGCCCGCTGTGAGTGCCGAGTACGTGAAACCAGCATCCATGGCGCCCAAGAGATCGAAGTCGACGCCCAAAAGCAGCACCAGCAACGGCATGTGCGCGTCGTGACGGTGGAGCAGCCGAGGCTGTGTAGCGTGCAGAAGCGGCCATGGGGCTCCCGCCCTCTGCATACTTGAAGATGGCGCGCCGCCCCGTCAGCGACTCTAGCATCAGTGCATCACCCCCTGACGAACGTGATCCAAGCCTTGGACACGCGCCTACTCGATGACGACACCGGCGGCGGAGGATGACGATGAGGGTAGGGAAGGGTGTCCACGGCAAATTGTCACCGAGGGTGTCACACATCCCACCGGAGCGCCCGCAGAACTACTACGACTGCGCCTTGAAGCCGCATCGACGCGCGCGCCAGGTGCTTTCGTCGTAGACGCAGGGGCTGATCCTCTAGGAAATGGCACCGGCGCGCCCACGGAGGTCCTGCGGCACCACGGTAAAGGCGTTCTCCAAGCAGGAGCCCGAGCATAGCACGTCATCGGAGACGAGGACGACATAGGCGTGGGGGCCTCCCCGCAGCGAGGTACGGTGCGACAGTCATGGGAGCCGGTGTCGACGCGGGAGCTAGTGTCGGGGACCAATACTAGGGTACCCGAAGAGGAGGGGTTAATGATCGTTATACGTTAATCCATCCAGGCAGTCAAAAGGTGCGACTACAGCTCCAACCGACATCGAGGCGCGGGCTTTGCCTCGCCCGACCCCAAGGTCGTGAGATCCGCCTCGCCCGACCTCTGGGGACGGGCTTCGCCTCCCCCGACACTGAGGTCGTGGGCTCTGCCTCGCCCGCCCTCTAAGGGCGGGCTCCGCCTCGCCCCACCCCAAGGTCATGCGATCCGCCTCACCCGACCTCCGGGGATGGGCTCCGCCTCGCCCGACCCCCGAGGGTCGACTCAGCCTCGCCCGACACCGAGGCCGCGGACTCCGCCTCGCTCGACCTCTGAGGGTTGGCTCCGCCTCGCCCGACCCTGAGGCCACAGGCTCTACCTCGTCCGACCCCTGAGGGTTGGCTCCGCCTTGCTCGACCTCTAAGGGCTGGTCCGCCTCGCCCGACACCGAGGCCGCGGGCTCCGCCTCGCCCGACCTCTAAGGGCTGGCTTCTTCTCGCTCGACCCTAAGGCCGCGGGCTCTGCCTCACCTGACCCCTGAGGGTTGGCTCTGCCTGGCCTGACCTCTAAGGGCTGGTTCCGCCTCGCTCAACACCGAGGCCGCGAGCTCTGCCTCGCCCGACGCCGAGGCCACAGGCTCTGCCTCGCCCGATCTCTAAGGGCTGGCTCCGCCTCGCTCGACCCTTGGGTTTGGGCTCTGCCTCGCCCGACAGAGACTCATACCACCGCCGACCACTTCGGGTCCACCAAGCGTATGGGCTTAGGTCAAAGCTCTGACACCAGGGAGGTGACCGACACACCCTGATATAACCCGTGATCGTGATAGGCCATACCTGAGGACTCACATTAGGAACAGCGACGGGCGAACCGGTGCTGTTCTGCCTAACCCTCGTACGAACACTGACGGGTGCGTTAGTTCACCAGGACGTCCGCCAGGATGAAGTGGAGCGGCATGACCGACAGACGACGCCTACACATGGCGCTAGTGACGTACAGGGCCGCAACGTGAAGCTATCCCTGTTGACGTCTACAGGATCGGCGGGACCCGCATAGAAGAGAAGAAGGACCCAGCGATCCTAGAGGACTTCTTCTCTTTCTGATTCTTCTTTTTTTCCTCCACGGTAACCCCTGCTTTCCCTTGGCCTATAAAAGGTAAAGCAGTGTGTCCCATTAGGGGCATCAGACCAATGATCGGAACGCATTGCACCGTATCAGATCAAAACCACTAGCATCGAACCTCGAACACATAGCCGAGCAGCGACCGAGCTCTCGGTACCCATTCGTTCTTTCTATCAGAGACTTAGGACCTGTCCCTCTCTCGCCTATTTGTAACCCCTACTACGAACTTTTTAGTGCTAGTAACACGAGCAGCAGCAACGAACTGGACGTAGGGTCATTCCGCCCGAACCAGTATAAACCTTATAAGTAATTACAAACTTTTTAATGGCTTATAAGTAATTACAAACTTTTATAATAACATACAGGTAAAAGCCTCAATGTGAATGAATCATTCACAAGGACCGTATTGCCCCTAGTTGGTATTATGCTTGCTACTCCTACACATGAAAATGCTACAAGCAAGAGGACCGCATGTAGTGCGGGTGGCAAGAGCCAGTGGCTGGCTTCTCGCCGGCCAGCGTTGGAGTCTTGCACTCAGCGCTTTTGTGACTCACCTGGGTTTTTTTTCCTAAACTTCCGTGCAGGTATCCTCAGGCGTCTATGGAGCATAAAGGGGAGGCGACGTGCCCGTCGCTAACGAAGCTTGTGTCTTCGTGAATGTCTTGTAGACATGTGTTGTGAGTAGTATATGTTCTAGATCTAGCGTACTGGTGTGTCACCTGGGGTTTTTTCCCCCAAACTTCTGTGCAGGTATCCTCAGGCGTCTATGGAGCATAAGGGGGAGGTGGGGTTTTCCCCAAAATTCTGTGTAGGTATCCTCAGGCGTCTATGGAGCATAAAGGGGAGGCGACACGTCCGTCACTATCGAAGCTTGTGTCTTCGTGAATGTCTTGTAGACGTGTGTTGTGAGTAGTATAGGTTCTAGATCTAGCGTACATCCTAGTGGTGTGTGTTGTGTGTGTGGCGTGTGTTTGGTTATACGTTCAGATACTACAACTTGTACTACCAGATCCGAGGAATAAAAAAAACGCTACAAGCAAACCATTTCCGTTTCCCATTTGCACGTGCATCTTTTGTCCATTGACACCAAGTATTGTGCATTGCACGATTGTGCAGCACCTCCCCACCAGCCTACTGAAAATTTAACTCCTAACCATAAAATAAAATAAAAATTATTAATATATGAGTACTATACATTTTATGTTTTGTTTTTTAAAAAATAATAGGGGTTAAAATCTCAAGAATTATGTTGTCTTTGGACATCATCAAAACACGTTGTTGCATATTTCTGCTAAGAAATTTATGCATTTTTTTTGCATGCAAAGACAAGATACACATATGGTGGAGCCGCCAGGGTCACGAGTGATAGCGCACAACACATAGGGTCCGTAAGGATGGTCTAGAACATATTAAAACTGCTATTGAGAATATCCGTGAAAGTGTGGCTTATTGGACAGCAACACCAAAAAGAATAGAGAAGTTTGAGGAGATAGCTAAGTTTGTTAAGGTTAGTTTGGATCATAAGATAAACCTTGACTGCAAGACTAGATAGAATTCAACCTTTAAGATGCTTAGTGTTGCAGTCTCCTATAAAGCTATTTTCATTAGACCAAGTCATGTTGATAAACAATATACATGTTTGCCTAGTAAGGAGGAATAGAACTTTGCTGCTGATGTTGTAGAATGGCTTCGAGTGTTCAATGACATAACTTTGTTGTTTTCTGGAACTGAATATGTTACTGCCAACATATACTTCATAAAAATTTGTGAGATTAGGAAGAAAATCATACAGTGGTCAACTTGTGGCAGTACAAAGATTGAAGAGATGTCAGTTAGCATGATAGCCAAATTTGACAAATATTGGTCGGATATCCAAGGACTGATGGGTATTGCAACCCTTCTAGATCCCCGTCTCAAAAAATTGAGCTTGCTGATGTTTTTTGAGTGGCTAACTGGTACAACTGGTTACATTTGTGAGGATAAGGTTGCTGAAATCATAGATCTGTTAATTGAATTGATGATTGAATACCTTGTGCAAGAAGATTGTGACAATAGCGAATCAGCAGCAGCTGTAGCTCCAACTGAAGACATGGAGTTCTTATCTTCATTTAGTGCAAGAGTTGCTAGTACAAGGCCATCTG